TCTTCAACCTTTTTTCACCATGTAATAACTCGTTCAGTTAGTTTCGCACGATTAAGTGCAATTTTATAGCTCAATCGTGCCGAAGAATAATTTGCTCGGTACGCAGATGGCAGCCCTCATTTCCGCAAAAGTGACAAGGAATTGTGTTATATTTATGTATAACGGTTCCGCGTAGTTTTATGTTTTAATATATTGAACATTTAAGTGCACTAACTACATATTTCTCTGCTACGTCTTACGAAACAAACGCTTCCATTTCTCTTTGTCTAGACATTGTTTTATTAATTAAAAATAATGCACTTAATTTATTCGATTAATAGAAGACTAGCATTGTTAAAATTAAGCAAATGTTTAACAATGTTCTGTTTTGATTTATGAAATGTTATCTATCATTAAAAGTTGGTAGAAGTTGATAAGGAAATTCAAAACATTATTTTAGTAAATAATATCTTACAAAAGCATTTCGCGAGAAGTGAATGTTATTTTGCAAATATTTTAAATCAAATTCGATTCCGTTTTATGAAACAAAGATTCGAAGATAGTTTGAAAACAGCTCGAATTATAAAATCCACTATTTCCTTTCAAGTTCATCGTACATATATATTTTCATTAATTTGCCGGCAAATCGGCACGGCATCAGGCAACCTGTTTGAGAAAAAAAGGTGCTCTTAAGTAAGATGAATGTCGATTGCGTGGGTATCGAGTGGCAGGTGCATCAAATCATGCGTGCTTTGTGCAATTTCGTTTAACGTTTTACCAGGTATCGTTTCTAGATCCGTCAGGCCCATGCTTGAACGTTGTGCGGCGAAACTTGCAGCCGACTAACTGCCGGTCAAGCATGGCTATCATGGTGGCAACTTAAACTGAACGTTGCCTGGCAACTGGAAATCAATTTCTAATGGCAACCACGCCGGACGTGTTCCAACGTTAAGAATGGGAGCGATCGTTCGCTAGTGGTGTGTTTTCTCGTGGAAATTAATAGCTGCACGCGTCGCCGTTGTCTTCGCGTTCCTTCGCGTGTCACCACTTTCATCGACGAATGTCATTTAATATTCAATGCACGGTTGCACCAATGCACTCGTGACATTCGCTCATGAACGCTTTATTTTTTTTTATGTCAAGAATGTTTTATTTCAATGTTTTTTTTCTTCTTGGTTATATTGAACTTTATAGCAATAACGAGGTAGGCGGTTTTGGAAAGAATGAAGATGCGAATTTGATTCTGGTAACGTAATTGGCGTTGGATGAGGGATGCTTAAAGCGTCAAATGAATGAATGTACAATATATTGTTGTTGAGAATTTGAATTGCATTTATTTTTACGCGCTTTTTTGCGGGCTTCCGGATTGAAAATGTTTGTTTCGAGTAAGTGACGGATCTAGAGGGGGATGATAGGAGCGATCGCTTCTCTGCCCATTCCTGCGAGAGAATAAAATATAAAAATATTATGACACTTTTTCAAAAACTTATCGATTATATAATTAACGTGAATTAAATTATTTAGCCTATAGTATCAGATAGAGATATTAAAGTGTAAATTACAAGCAAATTTTAAATCTTGAAAAAGCAGGTTCAGAGATATACTATACTTTTACACGTTTCGCCTCCACCCAAGAAAGACTTCTGGTTACGTCACTGTTTCAAATGAAGAACAGGATTAAAGTAGTGGTACTACTATTTCCGGTAAAGATACACGAAAGAATAAACTGAAAGTGAGAAATTGAATTTTACGTTATCAAGTTATACAGGTATTATATTTGGCGTATTACATTCAAATATGGTATTTTTAATAAAAAGTATCATATAATTTTTGGAAAATAAATATATAATTATTTGTTAGTAATGTAGTTAGCATGTTCTCTGAAACAAATGCAACAAATTTATGTAATGTGTTACGTTTATTACAAAATTATCCAAAAGAATAAATCCATAAGAAGTTTATAACTCCAAAAATTAAAAATGCCATATTTGAATATTCAGAAAAATAATTTTGGTAGTTTTTAAACAAAATGTAAATATCTAGTAATTAACCTATTCTGTTAAATAATATCTGTTATTAATAATTCTGTAATAATTATTTTATTAAATCGCTCAAAGTTAAAAGTATAGATAAGATATTAAATGTTAAAATAAATATTTAATAAAAGAAATAAGCGTTAAAATAAATAAAATTGATTATAGTATGCTTTATCGGCACAAATGTACGTGATAGAATATTCTACAATTTCATGTAGAGCGCATTAGTATCGCGAACAGGTATCAGCGCATGTTGAATAGTGTGTTGCTGTCAAGTTCAAGAATTTACAATTCGTTTCTTTTTAAAAAAGTTATATTTTTTGATAAGAGTAGACGTTACCTACGTTAGAATTATTGTGAGGAACTAACATAATTTCAAATGGTATGTTTGATAGTGCTATCGATTCCTGTATATGATAGATATCTAACCTACATCAAAATATTTGTGCACTTTGACGTAACTTTTTCATATATAGAGGGAAATTGTACCGTTATTATTTGAAAATTTATATAAATGCGTTTTACTTAGTACGTACATGTTATAGATACAAGTTGTGTATCGTAACGTTAAATTCGATTGTATTTCGATAATGTTTATGTAACCTGTATACGCTTATAATTATTTAATCTATATTATGTCGTTTTTGTTTTATCAATCTTTATCTTAGTAAATTTAACTTTAACATTTTGTATAAATTTGTTTTGTTATTTTTATAATTTTTTGTTAATGATACTTTATGATAAATACAAAGTACGATAAGTTGAAAGGTTATGTTAACTGCCTTAGCAATTACCAAATACAAAGCATTAGTATGTGATTTAAACCTCTATCAAATAAATGAATGTTGTTTATCAACAGGTTGCTGTTATTTATTCATGCTATTTATATTAACAAACTGATAATAGCTAATAAATTTTATATGCAATTAAGATAGCATCATTATCATAATTAATATGTTTTCATAATTTTCTGTTATAGGTTTTACATTTTATGCTGAATTTTATTGGATTTTTCATCAAATGAAATATTATTAACATAAAATGGCTGATTGTAAAGATACAGAGAAGGCTGAAGATTCTATGAAACATTATAAATTCGATGGGCAATCTTATATATATAAAGATCCTACAACTAATGTTACATATAGATTTGACCGAGATAAGAATGAATGGATGGTAAAAGATACAGAAGAAACAAAGACAAAAGCTTCTGATGATAATGAAGTTAGGGCACAAGAAGGAGTATTTGGCTTTGAAAATGATACTCATACATATACAGATCCTAATGACGGCAGTGTGTACTTTTGGGACAAGGAAAAAAATGCCTGGTTCCCAAAGGTGAGGTGTGTTTTTCATAAAAGATCTTTCAATAAACTTTTTGTTATTTATATAGCCCATAATGTATTATCATTAAAATATTTTCAAATAATTATTTTTCAGGTGGATGAAGATTTCATGGCAAGATATCAAATGAGTTATGGGTTTACAGATGCAAGTAAAGTAGAAACAAATACTGTGCAACAATCTCAAGCACAAGTAAAGATCGATAAAGAGAAAAAGAAGATGGAAGCCAAAAGAAAAGCACATGAGCCGCCAACCTGGTTCGAAGTAGACGAAGCCCATAATACTGCTATTTACGTGTCTGGCCTACCATTAGACATTACCATGGATGAACTCACAAAGCTTTTCAACAAATGTGGTCTCATAGCACGAGATGAAAAGGGAAAGGACAAGATCAAGTTATATAAGGATACAAATGGTCAACCAAAGGGCGATGCTCTCTGTATCTACATAAAGGTAAGTGATTATTTATCTGGTTCTTGTTGTCAGCTGTTTTATAAATAATTTCATTGGACTTGGAGTAATGATAATATTACTACTGATTAATTTCTTAAAAATAATTACTTTGCACAATTATGAAAATATTTATTTTAACAAAAAGTTAGTAAGATATATGTCTACTATGAAATGTGTAGTATGTTGAATATCACGGAACTCTTTTTATAAAAGTATAAATTTTTTCTTAATTAATTATCTAAATTACCTAAAAAAAGTTTGTTTACTATCACACTTTAGGCTAAAAATTAAATTTCATAGTAATGATTTGACATAGAATTTTTATTGACGTAATGTACATCATGTTAAATGTAGAAGATATGTTTCAATAATTTGGGTATTTTGTAAACAAAACTTAATTCTTCACGAATTAATCGTGGAGTTTCAAGTATTATACAACTTAAGGGCGAATGGGTTTTTTAATTTTGAAGTAACATTGTACAAATACAGATTAATATGTAAATAAGAATGTAATGTACGTAAATATAAATGTTTAAGTACACCACACAATATTTCTCGAATCACTTAGCTTATAATTAAACGTATAATCTTTTTTATCAACTTATAAATCCTGAAACGTTCCGGCCGTAAAAAGGTTTTATTCTAACGGTACTTATATGTATATACAATATCATTAAATTAAAGCATAAAAATAAAAGTCTTGGGAAATTTATATCGATATATACTGATAACATATACTAAATAATGCGTTCTAGATAAACATCAAATATTATATGCATATATATTTTTTTCTGATATTTTTTGAGTAACATTGATATGCAGTCAGTGCATTATCCATTGGTAGTGATACACGTATGCTTGAAAATTTAGGTATAGTCAACATACAATTATCGATATTTAAGCAGTTTGACTATTTGTGATATATTATCTGCTGCTATGATTGCACTATGGTTTTAAACATTTAGTTAGCGCGAAAAATAAATCCATTGTTTTAAATTGCTTTCTCGTGCTACAATAAATCGAAGGCATTCATCCAAGAAATATTTTAGAACTTATTTCTGTAAGAATCATTTTTTAATAATAAAAAATAAATTAAAACAAAGTGAATAAATAGTTTTTCTACTACGAGTTATTATTTTAAATAAAACAATTTTTTAAAAAGTACATTTGCAATTAGATAATTCTATCTTTTATTTCATTGTAGTTTTGCATCTTATAATTTGTTTCTTCGTATAAATGCCTTCGAATGCCGTAATACTTAGCGACAAGCAAAAACTAACATTGCAAATATAGTTCGCTAATGGATGATCCGCGTTTCATGCAGATTAATTAAATAAAAAAATACAAAATGAAATCTGAACACACATCGTACGCGATACACGAACATTGAAGTTATTACTCTACCGATTCGAGGTAACGTTATTAACTAGACAAGTACATCTTCAAGAATCTAACGTCTATTTAGAAAGAGAGGAACATAAGAAGAGACTGTTTTGAGCCGAATAAATTATATCTCAGTCTATGCTCGACTTTAGTAGCGCCTAAATAACTTCATCATCCACAAATTCGAAACGAAACAAAACGAAAATTATAACTCTTTATTTGGCTGAATGAAAGCTTCGATTAATTCAATTTCTAGCAAAATGCAGAATGGAAGAAAGTGTGTGAAACATAGATAAAAAATGATCTTTTAGAAGAATAATGATCGATGATTAAAGCAACCAAATAAAGAGTTAGAATAAATAGCGCTTTGTTTATGGCTTTAAAATAACTTCTTCGCTCGCTAGGTTGTTTATCTTGCTCGGGATTTGTGGCAAAATGTTGTTTATGGCTGTTAGACTTTGTGGACCGTTACTGGGCATATCAGGTGCGAATGCACTGTATTCTCGTCCTTGAGGCAACATCTGTGCCACTTGTGGGTAATTCAGTTGAGTCCTGTTCGAGTGATGTCGCATTCTTGTTCTCGGATATAATCCTTTAATGCTGCAATTAGAATTTTAGTTTACAATTACGAATGTACTATTATGCTACGATATGGTTACGATACATTGATCTCATCATTGATTTCTTATTGATCATTGATATATTCATTGATACATTGAAGATTAGATTTTCAAATGTGGATTTGTGTGGGAACAGATACTAAATACCAAACGGTTTGATATATGCATAAAAAATACCGATATATACATTTAATAAAATGTTAATTCTATGAAAATACATAGCGTTCAAATTTTTTTCGAATTTTACTATGAATTTTCCGGGCAACGTAACGGTCTTCAAGAGAAACTACTTGTCTTCTATGTACAAAATAGTATACTATTGGTACAAACGGTATATTTCACAACTTACTATTACTTTATAGGTAAAAGAACTTACCTAGGTGGCCTTGAACCTACATTCACACCATGTGCCCAATCTGAATATTGTTCCGCGTGCTTCTTTCTCCATCCACTTCGTTTCTTATTCTGTCTGTTTGATTTCTTCTGTTCTTTCGAGTACTTCTTGCTCTTCTTTCGAGGTTTCAATCTTTGGTTTTGCGGTGCGTAGGGATCTATCGTTTTTTTACGTCTTCTAACTATAATTTAAACAAAGTATCTAATTATAGATGTCCACTTAATCGCTAAAAGGTTCAACAATCATATGATTCTTGTATGTGTAAATTTTGTTAGTTTTAAGACGAATGTCTTGACGAATGATGATTTAAGTAGTATTTGAGCTAGAAACGAGCGTCAAGAAAGTAGAATGTTACCTATACGTCCAGCTGGTACTTCGCACACGTAGTGTTTTCGTTCGACGCAACTTCGTGGGCTCCATTTATACCTTAACGTGGGATCGATCGTGATGCAGTGCCATGCATATTGTTGTTTAGAGTGGTTAGATTGAGGTAAACCAAAATTTTGGAACACCACTTTCTCCCCGGTCACTCCCCATTCCCAAGCCATTTGCTGCCAATTGTATATTCCACCGATCCATCTCTCTAATTTCGCTGGGATATAATATTTCAACCAGTTTAGATATTTAACCAATTTCATCCAAATTTAAGATCATATATTTTGTATTTTTTTATGATTGTAAATATAAGATTGTATAATACGAGTGGTTTGAAAAGTATCTATTAGGTAATATGTCTTTTTTTATTTTTATTATTAAATATTGTATTGTAAGACGAGTTTTACTTACTGAATTGATCGCTCGACAAGTATTTTCTTAGCATTCGATCTTTACCATTTCTATCGAGAATCGCTAGAGTAGCGTTTCTATCTTTGCAGTGAAAATAGGCCTCTCTCCAAGGTGCCGTACCTCCGCTTAAGTAATAGCAATATCTTTTCAATCGGAAGAATCCTATAGGGCACATGTACCGCCTTATGATTTCATTTTGTCGGCCGACTCTGAGCCTGTTCGTGGCTGCTGGATTGATACTGTTATTGTACGGCTGTGCCACTACTGCTGATATGCCTGTAAAACAATGAAGTCGTAAAGAATAATTAGCTAGCCTTCATTATCTTATCTCATTTATCATATTCTCTTTAACACGGAAGAAAAAAGAAATCATTTTCAAACATTTAAATAGTATTCTCGTAATTTTATCTTTTCTCGTATCATCTGTAACTGAGAATTTCGCATATTCCGTAGAATGGCAATGGCATATTCTATCTCGAGAATATTTCTCGTTCAAGGAAATCCTTGGGGACGACACAACAGTTCAACAGTTTCGCCTACACACTGTTCACATAAATTTCTCTCCCGGTGCATCTTCTTTGCATGTGACGAGTATTAAACGAATGCCTTACATTTATGTACGTTTTATCCGTCGGTAAAAATTGATATCCACGGTTTTAACGTAGGTAGGAATGTGCGATAGCAAATTCATTACGTCATACGATTGCATGCTGTAATATGCGGCGGGACTAAGTAGTTCAGTGTTACGGTCGTTCTCTTTCCCGTGCAATAATTTCTTTCGTCTCTCGTGGCTCTGTCCTTTTATGGAAACAATTGCAGAAAATCGAATAAAATGTCAGACGCAGTTTAGTCGCGGATCCTTAATACCTATCTCTTGTCCTTGAGCGTAATTTAACGATTATGTAAACCGTTTTTACGCATGAATAGGCACAATTATACAGATGGAGTTATATACATTACATATATGAAAATAATTTAGTGATCGTGACGTTCTAAAAGGACATGACTGGTCATAAAATTGAGATTTGTTACACAAACAAGGTGATAATGATTGCTGTATAATAATGTCCTCGTTTATACAGATACCGATTAGGAAATTGTTTAAAAAATCCATTTTTCCAATTTTAATTTTAAGCTTGTTTTTAAATCTTTGCTCTTTCTTTCAATTATAAGACGAAGCATGTCGAAGGATGTCGATATATGTATGGTACGATAATTGCAAAAGATTATTTGTATTGCTGTTTGATAGCAAAAACGCGGAGAAGCTTATTTGTCGGTGGTTTAGATATAGCTAATTACCGTGTGAAATTGAATACACGTGATATAACGACTGCTACAGCTAAAAAGGTTAATAGTCTTTGGTATTTATTAATAGCTGTGACAATCTATCTTAAGAGATATATATGACACTATAATTTACACCGATGATAGACATAAGTCGATTACGACCGAATTCCGTAGGGAATGTGTTAATCTCACTGCGTTCTCTTTAACATTTGCGACCGAATCGTATTTTTCAATCATTAAAAAATTTCTCGAATTTGAGAAAAATAAAACAGACTTGTTATTTATATGTGTAATTTTTCGTTTCAATTTTTGCTTAAAGAATTATTTTACGTTAAAGATGTTTATAACGATAATTTTTTATAGAAGGAAATATCCATTATATGTACTTCAAAGATGCAAGTTTGAAAGTTTTCTTCTAAAGGTTCTTACGCCGTCCGTGCTCAAGTATCAAACATCAGTTAAACTTCCGTGTATTACTAAGTATTCCTAACCTAGTTGGATGCGTTTGATGTTGTCCGGCCTGCGAAGTGTGAATGATATCATCCGAGAAAATTATGCGACGCATTGCTATTACGTCCATACATGGGAATTATTAGGGTAGAAATGCGAAGTGCCAATTACATTGTGCATCTTCCTCTTTGGTTTATTATCATGGAAGAACTCCGGGAGTACGTTAACACGACGAAATAGGTTACTGGTTGATCGAGTTGTTTTCATGAATTCAAACTGCAGCACTCTAATTAAATCATGCACCAGCTATTCTCGTAGAATTCTTCCGCGGTTTACGACCATTGAAAAACTTGTTCTATGGACAGTTTTATTCTTTTTTGAGACTTATCCCTTTCACGTCTGACTGTAACGTAGATGTTTTATAGATGTTCCGTTTCCATGAGTACCAATAATGATACTAGTTTGCATAAAAATTTGCAATCTACCAATCGTTTGGGATTTTTTTGAAGTTGCAACGTCACGTTATTTATTTTCCAAGTAATAGGTAATATTACCCTTACACGTATCATATTTGCAATCACCTTGGATAATGTATCGCAATTTCTGTAATTTCTAATTCTGTAGGAATAACATATTCAACTATAAATTATCACTTTAGGGAACGTTTGTAGGAACACGAATTATACGGGGAAAAGTTTCCATCCGCTGAACACGTTTGGTTTGTTGAGCACATTTTGTTTGCTTGTTTCTCCGGCTGGAAACCATAAACGACAAACAGCCGCGGTAATGTTGCAGCTTTATCTTTTCACGTATTCATTCGCAATTGCGTCGGATGTAGCTTCACCGATATTTCTGTATACCCAGGACACGCATTGAATGTAAATCCGCCTTTCAGCAGATATTGTGAACAACTTTTTATTTTATCCGAGTTGTATTATGACAAATTAATGGTCGATATAATCGAAACGAACGTTTGCATCTTTTTAGTCATACGTTTCTGATTGATAGCAAATTTCGAGTTTTTAAGATTCCATTCCTCTACCAATTAGATATCTTTCATTTTTATACATAAATGTTGAAGATGAAAGAGATTTGTTCAGGATTTAATTCGAGCGATGTCAAAGCAGTCCGAATGGAACTTGATTGAAATTTGGAAATTTTATGAATGCGAATGAATCTTTCACGTGTAAAATCCTTGTTAATTCGACGTGTCTAATGTAACGATTACAAATATTTGAGAGGAACAGCTACCAAGGTTCATAATCTTGTCGAGGTATGTGCTGACGTAACGGACTATAGAAGTGGCTCCTTTTGTTAAGGTTTCCAATATTTTCGTTTCTTAAATCTGATTAATTATTTAAGGATGAGATCATCTGATTAGTTTGAATAGCGAGTAAATTATTCGGCTAATTGTTCATCTTTAATCTGTAAATCCGTGAGAGAGATCATACATACGACAAAAACAGTTCTCTGTTAATTGGAAAATTAAATTTAACTTTAATTACATACTTGGTCGTTGCAAAACGTGACGAAAATTAAAATCAAAACGTGAGGAAAATGAAAAGATGGTTATACTTGATCCTTATACATGACTCGAAAAATTTACTAGGCTAACATTATCTTAAACGAGTATTATCGAAATTATACAACCACATAGCACGTATATATGTCAGCTGTTTTATCTATTGTCAATATTCGCATATCAGCAGAGCCATGCGATGCAAACTTGCTTTAACCCAAATCGGTGACTGACTTTGAAAATGTGTTTGTACTTAAACGAACGATAGATACTGAGACTATGTTTCTAGAAATCCGCCATTTAACAAGGTGTAATTAAATACTATACGCCGGACTTTGATATCATCGTGTTATGTCATGAACATTGATAATTAATACGAACGTCTATAACTGTTATTCAGCCATAATTGCGTCTGAACTTTTAATCAGCACGTCCATAAGCTGTACCTTTATCTACGTAAGAATCATGTTCATCGATGCGTATGTTGTACTCATGGATAACACGTGTGTCTACAATTTTTACTTTCATTCACGAGTTACATCTAGCACAAGGCTAACTTTACATGTGCTCTGCGTAATTGTTTCATATCGCTTGTATATTTTAGCTACAGCGGCCGATTTGTTTCACTACGGCCGATCAACAAGTGTCTCGTGTATGTATCTCTTTTGTTAGTCTTTAAAATAACAGACGTTTGGATTAACTGGTGTAATTATAATTTAATAATCTAGTATCAATCATGTATATAATCTTTCTTTCATGGCATACTTTAGTAAAAAGACTATTTTTATGAAATATAGTTGGGGATTGTATTCGTCATGTTTAAAGTCATTACTAGTAGATGAAACTATAGTATAATCATTATAACTTGCTAACACTGCATATAACTCACTTATGTAAGTACTTTTTTTGGATTTGGTTTATTCCATTAAGCACAAAAACAAAAATGGTTTCGTTATATGTTTATAGAAGATCATAGCGAATATTGATGTTATTAATGATAAAATTTATACTTATTTTATCACTGGTATTAATTCATTGATCTTGTACAGATATCTCCAATAATAACCGCGTTCGTGAATTTAATCCGTTCAAAGTTAATTCGATCCAAGTTAACTAGATCGAATAAAAGATGGTGAAAAACCGATACTTACGTAATCCATTATTCTGCAGTTTTGGCAGTGAACACTTTCTTATGGTTATTCTAGTTTTGCGACACATTTGCGGTGTGATTTAATACCGTTGTGTGTGGTCTTCTGACTAAAGATTCGTGTACTCTCTAACAAAAATAGATGGCCGATCTATTCACTTCGGGCATCTAGGTATTCAATGGTATATGTGGCCTTATTTTTATTAGCCCTACATTACATTACATAACGATAAAAAACTTAATATTTTAGCTTCAACTATTCACCTTATTATTTACCTTACATCTTAAATATGAATATTACTATTTTCATTAAAGATTTCGAAGATAAATATAGATTGCATATTGAAACTTATTTTTAATATTTATCAATATAATATGTCGATACGGTATCATTTAGAAAAGTTAAAGATTTTGTTTTGAAAAGACATTTAATCGAAATTTAATTTTCCTAATCTTATACGTAGAAGTTAATTATTAATTGTTATTATTATGTAGTTTAAAGCGAGAAAAAAATCTAATCACGAACATGCATATTTGTCTATCCTCTGGTATTAAATGGTGTGTATCGTGACATTGATTGTATCGTCGCTTCTTCTTTGTTATGTCGAGTTCTTCGGATAATAGTAGGTAAGAAAGATAGAAATCTCGAGTAGCGTTATCGAGTCGCCTAGTTTCGCTTAAAGGCGCCATTAGTAATGAATTTTTTCGTACTCACAAGTGCGTAACCAATCGATATTTGCATTTGGTAGATACATCCTTTTGCGTTTAATGACTTGCATATTGCATCAGTTGAAGCTTGTAAATCGTTCTATTATAACGTTTCATTATGCTCGTATCAATGTCCGACGTTGGCAACGTTTCTACACATTTTTTTTCTCCTTTCTTTATACGAGTTCTAGGGAGAAAATAATAGGAAATAGAAAAGGAGGAAATGTACCGTAAGGGAACGTCCCATGTTATAAATTTTTAATCTTCCGTGGTGGAAGAAAAATAGGATGGACCGAACCGGCACTCGTTTCTCACCGTGCAGTGGAGTTGTTTCTATTCGTACGTGTCAACAAAATTCTTGAGGTGAATGATCTAAGTTATAAATAAATGGCCAGCTTCTACAATAGTGAATGAAGTTATTTACAATGTTTTCGTTATTCTCTATTTTCGAAATCTTTCTTAAGATACGCTTCTTCTTTCTTTCTCGATTCGATATATCGGTACTATACGACTTTTTAATTTAATTTATAGTGGTATCTGAGCGTTATATGTTTTTATTGTTTCATTTTTTATTCTTATTCCATTAAACGAAGTTTTATGGAATATTTTATTTATTTCAATGCTAAAGGCGAATGTGCCGTTTTAATGGAATTTTTTCGATGGGTGTGTTAAACGAGTATCGACATATATAATTATCATGTTCGTTTTATCCAGCGATCTCTTTTATGTTTATACTAGCTTTATAAACACAGAGGAACCTTTCTTTCGTATTTCGCTTTACCTTGCAATTTGATAATTAATTCTATTCCTCTCATGGTTTGTTCTCTAAAGCTTTCCTCAAAGGATCCAGTCGCAGAAAGCTTTCACGACGACGACTCGTAAACGCACTCCGTAAATTTATTTCTAAGAGAAAAGCCCGCGTGTGTGCATAAGTTTTTTGATAAACGTTCACGCTTTTCACTCATAAGCAACATTGAGATAGACATTTCTACCGGAATGAAATACAATTGAAACTAAGCCGAAGGTGGAAAAAATGTATTTCTTCCCTCGTCAATCTTTTTATTCATTTAGTCTCCTTTCACTTGATATTTCTCGCGTAAATCACAGGCTTTGAATTAAAATCGGTCGATTCATTGGCGAAACTCATTACCTGCGGCACAAAGAACCAGAAGCAAACACCTCCGCATGGTTTCCACCTGCTCTGTCGTTGATTTATTCGCCGAATTCGTCGATGAACAAGCAAAACGGTGCAAACAGAGTCGTCCTCATCCTCGTTCACAAGTTACACATTGATTCACTCATCAAGATCTACTTGATGCTTTGTCAATTCGAACGAAATTTTCATAAAAATTCACGACCTAAACGATCCTCGATCACGATAATTCTAATCTTTTTTTTCTGTGTTGGCGCGTTCTCGATTTCTCTATGTCTGAGACACTGATCAGAAGCGGACGAACACACGGGGAGAAGCTTTCACGGTGGAAGTTCGCGAGCGACTGAAGCCGCCGCTTCCATTCCGCTCGACGTCAAGGTACGAGGCGAGCTTTCGATACGAACTCGCGCTTCCCCCGTGTACCGCATACTTTCTCGATCTCCTGGCATTTTTCAGGTTCCTCTCCTGGCTAGTTGTACGTTCGTTTCGTTTCGTTCGTCAAACGCATCGGGTCCTCTATCCCCATAGCAATGATATTCGACACTTAAGGAACTTCTCCTGTATTCGACTCTTTAAAAATCGAACCACGCTCTCCTCTCTCCCTTTGCCATTCCATTGAGATTTATCTATCCTCGAACGATTTGGGAATGAGATCTGTGGCTTGAATGCGAGTGTGATATTTTGGTCTAGTTACAGCAACGTTCATAAGTATCTCAGTTCTTTGGTCTATTTCTATTCAGTGGTTTAATTAAAGCAGTGCCGCTTATCTTTTTAAGTAAACTGCCCTTAAAATCAGAAATCTACAAATCTATAAATATAATACTTAAATATAATACTTAATATATATATATATTAATAAATAAATAAATATATATAACGTTTCGTTCAGATAAAGAATGATTTTCCGCTGTTGCTATCATAATTTTTCTAAACACTTTCTCCCTCATAAAGTAAATATGTTTAGGTGTTTTTTGGGTGATAAATTGGGATTTGAAGGATTAAAAAACTTTAATGTTGGTTCCTTGTAATAAATCCAATATGTAAACGCATTCGGGAATACGCGTAATGAATCGTGCTTTAAAGTTTTAGTCGAAAAGAAACGAATACGAGGGATCGGGAATTATTTATGACTTTGCTAGACATTTTCCTGATCGTGTAAAAAGATTTAGACGAGGAAGAAAGTTATTTCCATCAGAATATTTTGTTTCTGATCTTTTTCTTTTTTTATAATAAAGTCACTAGTATGTACGACGATTTATTTGTATTGTGTTTATATAATGAGACAATTATATCATAATATTATAGTTAATTGAATTTATGTAATTGAATTATAATTTAATTGTTATATCTAATCCGTAGTTTCCTGGACAATTTTCTAGAGACAAATTTTGAAAAATTAATATTTAAATTAACTATTTAAATTGTACATCGATAAAGTTAATTATTCTTCTTAATTTTTAAATAAAGTCGCATACTTGTAGTATTTTCATTAAAATACCACTAACAAGTGTCGCGATCGGACATTTTTATCTCAGTCGATTTCTTTATCAGGCTGCTAAAAAATGATTATCTTTTAAAAAGTTATGCGTCAAATTTCTCTTTATCGGTAAGTAATAGCAAACACTGCAATATATCGTCACGGCAATCTGCCGTTGTATAGAATTATATTAATAATACGATATACCATACAAGGAATAAGAGAAAAACAAAACGATACATCATGGTTGTGCTTATTTTTTTATGCAAATGAACTCGTCAAGGGATGCACTGCCTTTTTCGAAGCGACGCGCGACGTGGTTAAAAAGAGATCGATCTGCACTGGACAGGGGCATTCCAACGCGTCGTCGTTTCTGGCGATTTTTCAGCTACGAGTTTCGGTTCGACGACTCGGACCCACGCTGATTCAGAGCCCGTGTGATAAAATCCGGAAAGAAGAAATATTCTGCTACTAGGAAGGATGGATTTAATCGAAATATATAAAAATTACATCACAGTATTTGCAATAAGGATTCGTATACACATCTTTTTTAATTCTTTAGATTTTTCATCTGTTTTTAACCCATTGATATATTTGTTACTATCGACGTATTGATTGCATTTATTTATCGAGTTATTTACCGGATTACGAAAGTATATACGAAAGAGAAATTACCTCACATACCGTGCATCGTCGAGTCATTAATATTCTCATGGAGTAAACGAACTGAACGGTAACAGCCGACAAAGTATCCATGTTTCTGAACCCTTCTTTAATTGGGATGAAGAACAGTTTCTTTCGAGCTCTCGTAGACCTCGCCGCTAAAACGTATCATCGAAAATTTGTCACACGTTTTCCGTCGAACAGACGTTGCTTTTCCTTGAAGATTCATATCTATAATTAGCGTATTGTTCCGTCTGAAAAATGAGAGAACGAGTTCCGATCATTTCTACTGCGTGTCTGAAAGGCGTGGTACCTGCCTTTCTCTTCTTTTTTTGTGCTGCAGCGTGTGAAAAATTCGAGGACTCTTCGCGAATACAATTTGAAACGTGACATACTTATATCCCAGCTAACAAAAGTTTGTTTCGTGCATTAAATTACAATGCATTCAAATAATCATTTTCTTTGGGAACTTCATTTTATAACCGAAATATTGAACATTTTTTTGTACAATTCTGGCTCTCTTTAGTTATTAAAAGTTTATGAACCTACTGGATTTTGCTGAATTTTATACATTCATTTAAATTTATTCGATAGTGATGCAATTTAATATATGAGTAGTTTGGAAGCCACATTCGAAAATTCTATAAATTAAAAAATAGAGCAAATATGATACGTTACAAATATCTTCCAAAATTTTTCTATTTAAAGCATGCCAGTTATTTATAAAACTGCAACCTCACTGAAATATTTGTATCATATATAAATATTTGTACTATGTAAATAAATAAATAAATAAATATTTGTACTATGTAATTATCTCTGTTATATCGATAGAAATTAGAACGAGCGAGATATCAAATGCAGATCAGTAGCAAGATCAGTCACCGAAAATGTCCAAATAAGATAAAATACCAACGGAATTCAGTCTGACAGTAATCAATTTAAAGAGTAAATAGTAAATCAATTTCAGACGATTATACAAGTTGATTGTATTTGTAAGATCGTTGATGTAATATCTCTCTACGAAAATTAATTCATCGTGTAAAACATGTAGTTCTGAAGTATATACGTATAAAAAAAGCTAATATCATTTTCATAGTAGGTTCAATCTCTTCTCCATTAGCGATAGTTTGGTAACTTCTTGGCATGCTTTCAACCAACTTTTCGGCTGAATAAAACAGCAGCTTTCATATTTTTCGAACACCATCGTTCTCGAAATTTATTCCTCGTTTATAATAAACCAAATATTTTCCACGAAACGTAATGATCGACGATAGAAACAGATATGAAACGAATCCTTGGAGATTTTTTATCGTAGTCACAGAAACGAAATTCGATGAATTGACTGAAAAATATTGCAACCGCGTTATTATCTTTACGCAACATTGGTGATTAAAGAGTTAAGCATCTTCCAGAGAACGTTTACATTTTACTATTTCTCGAAGTCTCTCGATCTTTCCGAATCCGAAAATATTGGGACGGAGGATGAAGGAAGTATAAAATGAATAAAGGGAATAAGGGCTACGAGACCAGTAGCTTGGTATCACGAGAAACTTGCGAGTTTAATCAGTTTTACGAAAGTGGTTGTTACGTAGGTTGGAATAAGAGAAGACTAGCTTCCAGAAAATTGGAATACGTGTTTAAGTTCTGAATATGGGGCGGCTATTGATCTTCTGAATTGCAAAATAAGGTAGGGTTTCAACTGATCGTTGTTCTGTTGAAAATAAAGGCGGTGTTTATTTTTACGAGTATACGTCAGCGAACGTGAAAAATAAATGAAGGAAGTGTAAACTATGTTCGCGTTTCGTGCAGTAACTATTTATTTTCACTGTTTTTTTTTTTTTTTTAAATAAACGCAATGTGATTCTAACGCTGATGAGATAAACGAATAAAATATTCTGAAACACGTGGAAGAAGTATTATCTTAATTACCGAATTCATTTAGAGAGATGTAAAATATTTTTAGTACCAATATTGATATTGTTATCACAATGAATGAATGAAATAGAAGGAATAAGTAAGAATGGAAACCGTTGTCACGAGAAACACGCGTTTTTAATTAGCTGTTTAAAGGAAACGATTACACAAGACAAATATAAAAAGATGTAAATCATGACTCGCTTAACTCCCGCTTTCACGAGGACTCGTTATTCATTTTGTTCTTTACCTTCCGTTTCATCTACGCAACTGCAGTGAGAGAAATCGCGTTCGCAAAATGTTTGAGCAAGTTCGTAATTTTAATCTATCTTTAAAAAAGATTACAAAAGGAACATTTTAACGCGAATTAAGCTTCGACTGAATTCCACAGTTCTACAGATTTTAATCCTCTTAAATTTAAAGGTCTGCCAATCCCGTATTTTTAATACATGCCCACAAAATTCCTTCATCGCGATGCTATTTGATCTTTTTTCTTCTTTTTTCTGCCAACAAAACTACCGACAAACGAGAAAACATTTATGGTAACTGATTCATTTACGATGATGACTAGACATTCAAGGTCGCAGTTTATGGCAACTGGTAATTAAGAATACAATGAATGATGCTCGAAAGAGGACGATCAATTCACTAGCTACGTCCCAGCTTTTACTTAGCACCTATGTGTACAGTTATTTAGTATGCATCTTATCTCTGGATACTGATGGGACACGAGTGTATGATTTTTAAACAAGCTTAAAGCATCGATTATAATATTTTTCGCGCGTTTCTATATGTTGTCTCGACGATTACACGTGCTTAAAAGACCAGCGTGTTAATTTCGTCAATGTACACGATAGTAATCGTTCCTCGTTGAGAAGTACGTTGTGAATTCGCAATTTCCGTGAAAGAAAATGTGCAGAATGTGGACTTTCCGGTAAACAGCTTTTTCGTGCCTCGCGGTTGGCAACAGCTGAGCAAATATCATTATCTTTATCGTTATTTTCTCGTCCTTGAATTTAACCACTTGCGGCAAGTTGTCGGCTTTTTGCATTAACAAAAGTACGTTAAGAATATCTACGTGCGGAAAGAATTGAAAACATATGGCCTTTCCGTGACGAGTGTTTGTATGGTAAAGAAGATAGAATAATGACCCGATCTTGACAACCATTCTTCTCTGAATGATAGTTAAAAGAACATTGTACGCATATTTGGAAAAAGAAAATGATAATAGAAAATTTGTACTTCTTGTTATAGAATTATCGTAGAACATCGTATATCATATTTCTATTCTTTTACAAA